GAGCAACCACACTGAGGCAACACTTCATCCCAACAAGCGCAGGAACTTTTTGGAGGGAGACAAAGGTTGTATGCCACTTTACAAATGTTAAGACTTTTATTGTTATAAGGATTAGCCATTAAAGACTTATTTATGTGGCTTGCGAAGCCTAAGAGGGTGGAGTTAACCCAGGGCAACAGCCTATTACTTGCTACAATAAAACATTTTGTACAGTTATCTTCTATGCTGTGGTGTGTCCAATCCTTGGAAAACAAAAAATCACCATATTGGCCTTTATTAGATGTCATTCTGTTACTTTCTCTGACCTGTCAAGATGGTTTTGATTTCCTTTGTTTTCTGGGGTTTGGCTCCAGATGTGATATAAGCTCTTTCCATTTCATCATCAAAGTCAATGAACATGTTAAAGGGTACTGGGCTGAGGACTGAATCATGATAGACTATACTCAATACCTCATCAGTGTGTTACTGTTGATGAGCAATCTTTGAGTACTCTTTTCAGATGTATTCACTTAAATGTCATTCATATTCTCAGCCCATGCTTTAGTAGCTAATAAGAATGTTATGGGGTATTTTGTCAAATTGTTCACTGAACTCAAAATATATATATATACAAGGTTAGTAAAGATTTGTTCTGGACAAATCGATGCTGACTGCAAAGTTTTCAAGAGAAGGTAAGACCTTATTATAGTAATAGATCAAAAAAAGAAAAGACCGCCATAGTAAAGCATTGCATAACCCTTAGCAGTTGCAGCCCTCATAGCAGGGCAGAGCTGCAAACAAGTGTCCCTATAGAACTGGCAATATAACCAGCAGTATATGCCTTCTCAGATATTGATATTAGACTGACTGGTCTGCAATTCCCTGGGCCCTCCTTATCCTATTTTTGAAGAAAGGAACACCTGTTCTCCAGGAATTTTCAAAGATAATTATATAGAGATTCAGCCAGATCATCAGCAAGTTCCATTAGTGCCTTAGGATGCAAATTATCTGTCCATGAAGTTTTGAACTCATTCAGAGTAAGTGGGTTTTCCCTGACCATATTTCTATAAACTTAAGCTGCAGTCTGTCCCTTCAGTATGCTCTTCTCAATTGCCTGGTAGAATACCTGTCTTATGTTTGAAGACTGAGCAAAAATGGATTAATTCACCCTTTCTTTGTTACCTTTTAACTTTGTGCCATCTTCACTGAGCATATGGTATACTGTTTTTTTTTTCATTGTTTTATTTTGAACATAGTTGAAGAAGCCCCTTTTGTATCCTTTGCCAACCTCAGCTCATTCTTAAACATCAGTTTTTCTGAAATCATTTCTGCAGTTCTAACTAACCTGCTTTCTTGATTTCTTTTCCTCTTTGTAAATTCTGTATGTACCTTTTTAATTCGTTCATTTTATTTACAGTCCCAGACCCATCAGTGTACTTTTTAATTTTTTTTTAATCTCCCCTAGTTTTTTTATAGCAGCCATGTTGGCTTCTTCTGTATTCTGTTTTCCTCTTGTTGGAAGTATTTGTTATTGTGCTTATAGTACCTCCTCTTATAGGAACTCCAGTCCATCTAGTGCTTCTTTTTCCATTAACTTTCCTTGTTCGGAATGCTACTTAGCACTACTCTACATTTATTAAAATCTGCTTTTCTGAAGCTGAAGATAAGAGTTTGATTACATCCATATTTAATTTAAAATCAAGAACTCAAACATTACATAATCACTTTCCCCAACATTCTTGTTACTTCCAATTCATTGATCTATCATCTTTCCATTAGCTAGTCACTGATTTTCTGAGCCTTTTACCATCCTCTGAAGGAGAAAGTTATCAGCAAGAGAGATCAGGAAGAATGAAGGAAGATCTCAGTGCTTTTCTGTATTGTCTTACAGGGGTCAGTTACTTCACTTCTGCTCTCTGAGCTCCAGACTCTTGTTTATGTTTATTAGAGTTTTCTTTTGCTCTTCCATGCTTGATTCTTCTTCAGAAGCCTGGAAGGTTTGAATTTCAGTGGTACAGAATATTTTCTTAATTGTTGCTTTGTTCTCATTCATTAAATTTGTTCCAGTGTTTAGTTTCCTGTGGAACATCACTATCCCTTTCAGTTGCTCCTGTAATTCATCCCTAAGAAATCCTCCCATATGTGTTGAATGTTAGCTAGTCACTGTTGCAGTTCCATTATTTTTTCTTCAAACCAGTACAAGCTTGAGTTGTTTATGAAGACCCAGCTTGTTTGTGTCATTCTATCATAATTTCTTCTTCCTGTAGTATTCTGCTGTCACATAACTGTTAATGTGCCCTTTTTTCCCCTCTGTACTCCTCATCCATCTCCTTTTTGAAGATAGGTAGGGGCAATATTTGTCACCTCCCATTATCTGGCACGGGGGACGTGGTGGCACAGCGGCTTAATGACGCTGAAAGTTGCCGGCCAGAAATGGTCGACGCTTCAGCAGTTCGAG